TAAACTCGAGTTACCGCAGCTAAAAAAAAATACGTGTCGATTATTTTTGGCTGCTTTATAAGTGTACAAAGTTTCATCAAAATCGAAGCCGGACCGTTCGCGATGGTTCCTTGTGAGAGGAAGCCGAGTTTTGCTCATTTGCAACCCCAAAATTCCCACAAATATATTGTATTTCTATTCTGTATATTATATTAATATAAAAATTAATATCAGCCTTTTATTCAATATACACGTAAATATATTTATAAATTATGCTTGTAAACCTTATAACAAATACCACACTTCCGGAGTCTATAACTTATTTTTATAACCTCGAACGAGAAAACAATTACTCCAATATTTTAATAAGTGAATGCGTTGCATAGAAACCGATTATCAATTTTAATCGAGTAAAATTCCATCCAATACTGGAATTCAATCTCTTGCAATTTTAATGTGCTATTTATTCGTCATATTGGATCTAGTATATTTCGATCCCGTGAACGAGCTTTAATAAAATGAGCTCTCGCGATCCTGAATGACATAATTCCACGTTAAATGTTTCCGGTGTATTCGAGGAGTATTAAAATAAATATCTTGAAATTCGATGATCAGTATGACAAGACTTTCAGGTCAACGAATTTGTATTTTCATTCTCCATCATTTTCCATTCGAATGCATTTGAAAAGAAGAAACGATGACATTGAAATCTGAATAAATGACCTCAAAAAAGAAATTTTATTTATTATATTTGCTCTTTCGTGTAATTTAACTTTAAACAATTTTTTTCGCATAGCTATAAGCAGCAAAAATCTTTTAAGTATTCTCGTTAAAAAGATCCATTCTTTGTATGCATTTAGTCGATTACGAATAATTCAAAATCGATCGATTAATGTTTTTTTAGAAATTTCAAATCTTTTGCAACCATAAACATGTACTGATTCGTTGATAATGATGATACTTTCGTGGGCTGGATTAAAAGAATAGTGGATTAAACAGTTTGGCGACTTACGAAAACATCAAAGAAAGAAACATGAAAATTGATCGTTCTACGGACAGCGCATGAAAAACTATTAACCTACATATACAACCACCACGATGAACGTATTGATAAAAATGGGCGGGGCAAACCAGTATAATACGATGAGGATTTCCGTGCCCGATAAGAACTCTAGGAATGCAACGTGTCACGAAATGAAAATCACACACATACACGGTTTATCGCAAATTACGCTGGAACCAATGGAAGGAATCGATGTGTGCAGCAAGGGCAAAATATTGTGAACGATACTATACAAGATGGTGCCGGAGAGATACATGCAATCATAAAATTAAATTTTGACTACTGATAAGGACTTTGCAATTCTAAAGACCAAACAATAATTCTAAAAATTCATAATCTCAAAATAATTGTTACATAAGAATAATTATTTAATCTAAAATTAAATCCATATTTATTTCACTCAATAAATAAATCATAATTTATAATTAAAATAAACAAAAATAAATTAATCAAATTACTTAAAATATATTTATATTTTAAAAAATTATAAATATAGATTAATCTTAACATTTTGCAAATTGAAACTATTCGAACGATCGTTTCCAAGGAAATGACGCTTTTAAAAAAAAAACTGGCCAATTTTAAACAATTGTTTTAACATATTAGGACTTCATTTTTGACTCTTTCTTGTTTGTTTATTAATTGCGACGATTTTTCTAATACGAGGACCTTCAAAATCTATACAAAAATTTACATGAACGATTCTACAGGGAAAAATAAGACGAAAATCAAGAATACCAATTTGTTGATGGACGCTTCGTTAAAAAGTTATTAACGTTTAAAGTTTCGCTCGTACTGAATTTTTTTCTCGAAAGTGGTTAGGATTTCGGGGGTATGTCCATTGACCAAAAATGATTGTAATCGACCCTTGCAACTAAAAATAATTTTTTTAGAACGATCTGAAACTTTTTAATTTTGTCAAAAAATTTCACACCTTCTCGAATTTTTTCCTAGAAAATGGGTAGGATTTCAGTGGTAAGGCTATTGACCAAAAATGATTGTAATCGACCCCTGTAACTAAAAATAATTTTTTGAGAACGATCTGAAACTTTTTAATTTTGTCAAAAAATTTCACACCTTCTCGAATTTTTTCCTAGAAAATGGGTAGGATTTCAGGGGTAAGGCTATTGACCAAAAATGATTGTAATCGACCCCTGCAACTACAAATAATTTTTTCAGAACGATTTGAAACGCATGAAATTTCAGGGGAATCATTCATTCATGATCAGACGTTATATTTTCGGTAACGAATTTTTTTCTCGAAACCGGGTAGGATTTCGGGGGTATGTGCATTGACCAAAAATGATTGTAAATGACCTCCGTAACCAAAAATAATTTTTTCAGATCGATTAAAAATCTGTTAATTTAATTTTGTTAATAACTTTTTAACGAAGTCTCATTCAAGAAATTGATATTCTCGATTTTCGTCTTATTTTGGCCCCTAGAATCTCCCATTAAAATTTTTCCCATGGTTGTCGGAGCACCCTGTATAATCGAAGTATACCAATATGATAAACTATGAATGTACCAAGATATAAGGTTGGAAGTCCATTTGTTCGAAATTGCAGAAGCATAGGCAGCATTTACTTTAATTATACAGCGGGAAATTCTTTTGCCGCGCCATAATACGTTTCGTGTCGCGATAAAATTTATTTGCAAATACTATCAGATCTTTGGAATATAATTTTGCAGAACACCAGCGAACTCCATTCGGTTGCACGCGGACGGATTTCCCGCGAGTTCGAATTTATCAGATTTTGATTCTACGGGGACGATAAGAATTTATAGAAAACGGAGTATCTAGCTTCGGGATCGTGTGGCAAAGCCAGCGTTATCATAGAAATAAAACGAAGGCGAGACTTGGTCGGCAGATAGCCAGCCCACTGTTAAGTAAATTATCTAGTTAGACATGCATGGTTTTTCGAACTGTAAAATATTTATTGAAAGTTACGGTATAACAATTTCTCGTAGATTCTGTCCCTCGAGGTTATTTTATTTAGTAAATACACATTATTCTGAAATTAATAATAATAATAATAAGTATATACCTTCAATACTTACGATTCATAATAAACTAATCCATTTCGATCGATTTAATAAGTCGTACTATTAATACGCTTAATATGTGTTCAAAAATTTCTATATTATTATTTTATTTGATTTATTTGCTATTAAAGTTAAAACAGAAACGTTTAGACTATTTTATCGTATTGATAAACTGTGCTCGATTTTTGTTATTGTTAAACTTTCAACTACCGACGTGTAGCGTTGAGTGAAATTTTTGTATTTGAAATAATGTTCCACGACAGAATTTCGAAACGCCGTCCGCTGGAAACCCTCGGGTATTTTATTTTACTCGCGGTTCTAGCTTTGGATAAATGGAATCGCATCTCAGTTTCCTAGCAAACGTCTATCGAAGCGAAACCCCTGTATCGATTCTGGTGGCAAACGCGTGGAAATTTCTTCCTCAATGTCCCTCGAAAACTAGCACCATGAAAGGGCCGTTGAACGAGCGACTCGTTTCCTCATGAATTACAGGCTTCTCGAATCACGTCTGAGTAAACCGCCGTGGAACCTGCGAATCACAGCGAGCCATAGAGCCTATTCCGTTACCTTTAACCAACGAAAACTGATTTGTCCTTTGGAATATACAGTTTCCATCCCCTATCATAACATCCCACGTATTTCATTTTCACCGAATATTACGATAACCATAGGCGAACGACGACTACAGTTTTCATCGATCAATGGTCGTACATCTACCACTTACCAGTAAACACATTACCAGTAAATTGTGGATATTCATGCAACTTCATCATTAATAGAATCAAGTAGTAGCTTACCAGAGAGCAATCTCAACCCCTAAATATCATAGTTCATATCTTACACTAAGTATTTCTTATGTCTTTGTATATTAAGTGCATCTTGTAGTTTATTGAAAACTATCATGCCCCGTCTCAACTTCGCCCGACCTTGTGCAAAAGCAATTTATGACCAGACGATCGTCCTGACATAATATATCCGCGATAATGCAATTCTCTCGCGAGAAAGCGCTCGAGAAGCTTCGCCACCTGGCGGTAACATCGCAGTACTGCTACGGGCGAGGTATCGCGCGGGCCGAATATGCGCATGCGCGCGTAAGTAGACTGTCGTATACAGGGGTTACGTGGTCTGCCAAACAGTCGTACACATGAAATCTTTGCATATAAATTACATGTTAATAACGCGCTTCTGAGACATGCTACATAGCCTATGTACGTCCTAGAGTATGCAGGAATAACGTGTCAAAATTTGAGGAAGATCGGTTCAATAAGTCTTGAGTTTTACGCGAACATAAAAATCGGCTCTCTCTTTATATAATAATATAGATGTAAAGGTTCTTGTATAACTTGCAACTGTTAAATGTTCTTGTTGGACTTGAAGTGTCCTGATTGTGACTTGTAACGTGATTATACACTGATGTCAAATCAGAAGGCGATTCTATCAACCAATTGTTAAGGATTCTTAAGGAACCTTCACATGACGGGGTCTGTGATACGCGCGTGACTTCTCCGCCATTTTTTAGGATCAGGCCTTCGAGACATTTTTACTTGACGAATTACGTTACGGTCATTAACCCATTAGCTTACAATTACGTCTCAGAGACGCGATAAGTCTACCGGGGCAAACCTTGGTGTCGCTTTTGGCGCACTGAGGGTTGTACCGGGATGAGCGATCGCGGTCCCAAGGGGTAGGTAAATGGGCCCAAAGTGTGCTTAATGGTATGTAAATTTCTTTTGTAAAATAAGGTACATCGCCAGATCACCAAATCAAGTAATTTAAGTAGCAGTGAACCGAATGACGCGTCCTGTAAATTGTTGGGATTCCCAACACGGTGTAATAGATTAAGTATTCGCGGAGATATTTTTTAAACGATACACGGTTGTCAGTTTGACGTGTGCGTTCTGTTTGATTTCAGCCGGTGGGATTCGTGACTTTCCACACGAGGGCCGGTGCGGAGGCGGCGAAGCAGGACCTGCAGGTAATAGCCCCTTTCTCGGCGTTATCGAGAGAGAAAATGTCAGGCTCCTCGGTTCAACGCAAGAGCTCCCGAGGGCTCCCTTACAGTTAGCCATATTCTATATATATATATACATACACACGCGTACAAACATGGCCCACAATTCTATTTCCTATATTTTTTTTTTATATATTTTTTTTTTTTTTTTTTTTTTATACATATTATATAAAGTTACACCCTGCCTTAGATTCCAGCTGGCACGGGTTAATGCTACGTAGCTCTTTACCTATCAATTATATACACACGTACACACTTTCTCTTTTTGTGTTCTCTGTTTATATATATATATATAAATATATACATCTTCTGTTTCTGTTTTTACATTAGCTTCTTCCTCTATTACTTGGGTCGAACAGTAGTAAAATCCCTTTTGTATACGTACCAAGACCGTACTGTAATAACGCTGGTTGCACCGTGTGACATTATCGATATATGGTGTTGTTTTGCCTCCTGATAAGCGTGGACACCCCTACACTTTCCCATTTTCTCTCTTCCACCACCGTGTATCCGGGTTTCATATCTTACGTATGTATTTGTATAAGAGGTCAGATTTGATCTTATACGAATACATTTGTATATACCGCCAGGCGATGTACCTATATGATATACAGGGTGTTCGGCCACCCTTGGGAATAATTTCAATGGGAGATTCTAGAGGCGAAAATAAGACGAAAATCAAGAATACCAATTTGTTGATAGAGGCTTCGTTAAAAAGTTATTAACAATTAAATTAAAAAATTTCAAATCGTTCTAAAAAAATTATTATCATTTGCAGGGGTCAATTATAAGCATTTTTGGTCAAAAATCATACCCCCGAATTCCTACTCAGTTTCGAGAAAAAAATTCGTGTAAGTGGCGAAATTTTTCGGTGAAATTGAAAAATTTCAAATCGTTTTGGAAAAAATATTTTCAGTTGCAGGGATCAATTACAATCATTTTTGGTGAAAAGTCATACCCCCGAAATCTTGCGCGTTTTCCAGAAAAAAATTCAGTACGGGCGGAACTTTAAACGTTAATAACTTTTCAACGAAGCCTCCATCAACAAATTGGTATTCTTGATTTTCATCTTATTTTGGCCTCTAGAATCTCCCATTAAAATTTTTCCCAAATGTTGGCCGAACACCCTGTGTGTATACGTATCCACGCAGTTGGCGTGCCCAGAAATTTAGGAGAGGAGATGCAACTAAAAATTAACAGAAACTAATATGTTTTCGAGATATCTAGATTCATAGTTATCAAATGAACACCCTGTATCTATTGTTTCAACCCTGCAAAACATTATATTGATGTATCAAAACAAGAAATAACGACGAAACGTACAAAGAGAAACTTACGTGAAAACAACAGTTACATAAACGTTACAGTGATAAATAAATTTTTTTATCATATCCTCATCGCGCATATTTTACTGCTTCTACATGCCTCTTACATTGACGTAAGTTCATTTCTAACCTTTCTCTACTAATATTATATTTTCTGATTTCTTTACTAATGTTGATTTCATTATTCTTGCTTCCGTCGATTCTCTGTTAAAAGTGGTGGAGGAAGTGCCCTTTCTGGGATTCGATATTATCTCGTTACGAAGTTTCACGACGCCCCTGGGTGCGCCACTGTAACCACGCATTTTATACTATACTCGCATACACGTGATATAATCATATTTTTTTTTTTTTTTTTTTTCATCACACCACCCGCAACTGACCTCACGCAACTTGCAATGTCTGATAACCCTGTGTAACCGGTTCTATACGAATGATACGAAAACATCCTCTTGTCGGATGGACACGTTCGCTGAAAACACCGCGTAACAGACTAACGAACGACCCACTTCTACCGGTACCCACCTATAGTACACTGACACGTATTACACAACACACACATCTACATACACGACCTTGTGCTAATTTCCCTGTAATTTTTTCACCAGTCCCCTGAAACCCTTATCGTCAGTTATAGATCGTTACCAGAGATCGTTTTTCCGAAGCTTTCGTCGTCGTGCCGTATCGATCCACGATCCCGGTCACCGAGTCTTTTTAACGAACACAACGTCCGGTACAACGATTCGAAAAACGGGGTTCCATGCGCGAACCGACGCGAAATAAAACTAATTACGAGCTCGTCGAGAACGATGCTTTCGAAACGAATATCGGTTTGGAAATAGTGGATTGGTCCCGTTCGGAACGGATTCGTTGTAAAGTTCGTCGATTTGTAGAACCCGACGAGCATTTTAGACGCGAACCGTCGGTCGCGATTGGCCTGGCAACGAAAGCTGAGGAACCCTGATCGCGATACGCTTGAATCCAGAATGTTCTATCTGTTCTCCACACCAATCCAGCCTCTGATCCGTCTGCTCCCGGTTTACTAATTTAGGGAATCTATTTGCAGCAGGGGGTTAGATTCGATCCTGATATGCCACAAACCATACGTTTGGAATTTGCAAAAAGTAACACAAAGGTTAGCAAACCCAAGCAACCAGCCGCTGCAGCAGCCACCTCGCACCCTGCTCTGATGCACCCTCTAACTGGACGTAAGTATGCACCGCCACTCGTTCACTTGCTGGATACGTCTCACAACTATTCTCACCCACTGCACCGACTACAACGTATCTTCCTTCCTGTTGTTTATCTCTCTCTCTCTCTTTCTTTCTCTCTCTGTCTCTTGATTTTAATTTTTTTATACATATCCTGACTACCCACACGGTCCTCGAGTTAGACGTGGTTAGAACAAACGATTGAAAATAACTCCCGCCTGTGCGTTGATACCAAATCGCAACGATTGTCTAAAGTCGACGGTCATGCCACATCGAAGGAAAGTTAAGCAACGTTTGGCGCTGTCAAGTACAGTACTTTGGGATGGGTGACCGCTTTAGGAAATATCGCGCGTATTATTAGCATTATTATCGTATACTGGTTTATATTATACCACTGTGACGATTTTGTAATTTACTTGCCCGTTAATATTGGGTTGTTCGGAAAGTAATTTCGTTTTTTTTTTTTTTATGAGAATATAAAGACGATTTTCTTATAGCGAATAAATATTTTATTGAATCATATATCGTCCATTCTGGTCCAACACCTGTTGTCATCTTTCTGACGGTAGCATGATTCCACGCTCATGAAGCTTTTGTTCTTCACTGGCAGAAGACTGATCCAGGGGATTTTTCACCTCCCCGTTTGAAGTAAAAGTTTTACCGTCCAAAAAGTTTTGTAGAAAAAAATTTGTAAAAACGTTCTAAAAAAATTATTTTCGGTTGCAAGAGTCAATTACAATCATTTTTGGTGAATAGACATACTCCCGATATCCTACTGAGTTTCGAGACAAAAATTCATTACTGAAAATATAATGTCTGACCAGGAATGTTCTACTGAAATTTTTCGTCGAAAAAAAAACATTTCAAATCGTGCTAAAAAAATTATTTTCGGTTGCGGGGGTTAATCACAATCATTTTTGGTCATTACACACACCCCCAAAATCCTGCGCATTTTCGAGAAAAAAATTCAAAACGAGCGGAACTCTAAACATGGATAAGTTCTTAACGAAGCCTCCATCAACAAATTGGTGTTCTTGATTTTCGTCTTACTTTTACCTCTAGAATCACCCATTAAAGTTTTTCCCAGGGGTGGCCGAACACCCTCTGTGTAATGACTATGCGACTTAAGTGTGAAGTTGGCTTTGAAAAAATGCAATCAAGTCCTGTGTTGGGGTACAAAACGAAATTACTTTCCGAACAACCCTATATTATACAAAATTAATAATAGGTTAAGAATGTTATTAGAATGCAAAAAAGAACTCGAACAAACGTACGTTTATCTGAACTTTATTAATTAAGTCCTGACATATATGTCCGCGATAAGGCAATTCTCTCGCGGGAAAGCGTTCGAGAAGCTTCGCCACCTGGCGGTAACATCGCAGTACTGCTACGGGCGAGGTATCGCGCGGGCCGAATACGCGCATGCGCGCGCAAGTAGACTGTCGTATACAGAGGTCGCGTGGTCCGCCAAACAGTCGTACACATGAAATATTTACATATAAATTACATGTTAATAACGCGCTTCTGAGACATGCTACGTAGCCTATGTCCGTCCTAGAGTATGCAGAAATAACGTGTCAAAATTTGAGGAAGATCGGTTCAATAGGTCTTGAGTTTTGCGCGAACATAAAAATCGGCTCTCTCTTTATATAATAGTATAGATATTCGAAACTGACATTCAAAATGGTGTTTGGAGTTCGTGTCAATGTTCGCTATCGACGAACGAGTCGCGTTAAATGTTATTTTAATTGCCCGGATCGTGGCTACAGTTTCGTTGCAATTGTTACTTTCGCATTTAAAATTGGTATCCGGACGAACATATTGCGGTAGACGCGTTAATATCAATTTAAACTTTCGGAACGACGTAACCGTGATATTCAATCGTTAATGGATCGTTCCTTTTGGCCACCTCGCGATAGAAATCGATAGTTAGATCGATAACCCGTACGATGAACAGTCGACGCGAATTTGAATACGAACATTTCGGCGAAGAAACACGAATTGAATGGAAATGTTCCATGTTACGTTCGTTTGTGTCGGCGCAAGTACGATTTAATCGTTGCCCCTTGAATTGTTTAATACACGAGAGAGAACATCGATCGTATTATACGTACTTTTCTCGAGGCAAAATTCGCATCGATATAGAATTTCTGTGCAAGAGTCAGGTAGGTCGTAGACGACGAAGGGGAAAGCGAAGATGCATCCGGTGGAATGCGATGCGATCGATGTAGCGCGACAGGAATAAAAAGAATGGACCCGAGGCTCGAGAGGGATCCACCGTGGATGTTTGTTTTATGCCGTCAATAAATATGCATTCGTGTCGGGACGTTCGAGAGACTTCTTGAAATAAACGGAAGGTATCCGTTGGCGGAAAAGGCGGTCAGGGCAGTGAATTTTATCGCGGCGTAGCTCGATTTCAACCCCCTCCCCGCAAATGTGCCCGTAATCGAGATAACGGTCGACCGAACGACTGCGTAAATGTAACAAGATGTTACCTTTTTTAACCTTTATCGAGCATATATTCTTGGTTAGAACACATTGTGGCGCAAGCTTCGCTGCGGTATAGGAACTCGTGAGAATCTCGTGGAGAGGGTTGAAAAGGAAAGGGGGGCGCGTTTCGTCCGGACCTGCTAGTGGACTCATCAATAAGGCTTTTAGCAGGCCCTGCATTAGACGACTGGGATATTGAGAAGTCGTTCGAAGAATGTATATACAAGATGTTCGGTCACCCCTGAGAAAAACTTTAACGGGGGATTTTAGAGACAAAAATAAGACGAAAATCGAGAATACCAATTTGTCGATGGAGGCTTCGTTGAAAAGTTATTAACAATTAAATTAAAAAATTTCAAATCGTTCTGGAAAAATTATTTTCGGCTGCGGGGGACAATTACAATCATTTTTGGTGAATACACATACCTCCGAAATCCTATCCACTTTCGAGAAAAAAATTCGAGAAGGTGTGAAATTTTTCGACGGGGAAAAAAAAATTTCAAATCGTTTTTGGAAAAATTATTTTCATTTGCAGGGCTCAATTACAAGCATTTGTTGTCAAAAGACATACCCCCGAATTCCTACTAAGTTTCGAGAAAAAAATTCGAGTAAGTGCCGAAATTTTTCGGTGAAATTAAAAAATTTCAAATCGTTTTGGAAAAAATATTTTCATTTGCAGGGGTCAATTACAAGCATTTTTTGTCAAAAGACATACCCTCGAATTCCTACTAAGTTTCGAGAAAAAAATTCGAGTAAGTGCCGAAATTTTTTGATGGGGAAAAAAAATTTCAAATTGTTTTGGAAAAATTATTTCCGGTTGCAAGGATCAATTACAATCATTTTTGATGAACAGACATATCCCCGAAATCTTGCGCGTTTTCGAGAAAAAAATTCAGCACGGGCGGAACTGGAAACGTTAATAACTTTTTAACGAAGCCTCCATCAATAAATTAGTATTCTTGATTTTCGTTTTAATTTGGCCTCTAGAATCCTCCATTAAAATTACACCCTGTATAGCAACCGAGGGTCGAGCGCTTGTGAGAGCGCGACCCCTCTGGTGGCGAGCATGGGAGGCGACAACATTTTACTTTATTAGGACCGCGCTTAAATTCTTACGTTTCACGGTGACATTCGATCGAGGGTTTCCAAAGTGCACTGCTGGCCAATATTGCAAGCTCGCTTCATTTTTGGTTCGTTCATCGTTACGGTTAGAGCTGTTGCTTTTTTCGTTTGCAGAATTACGTAAATATACGCGAAAGATAAATGGGATAAAATTCAGCAATATTCACGTAAACGATGAATCGTAACCCTCTTCGAGAAAAATGCAGCTTGTAAAATAGAAAGCATAAGTTCCATTATAAATATCCGTTTATTTATAAACTAATTACTATGAACATTGTTCTTAATAATCAGTAGCCGATCCACGACGGTGAGTTGGTTGGAATATTTTTGATTTCATACTGTTTATAAGATTTTCTATCACACTTTTCGATAAATTCGTCTGACGAGTATTTACTATATACAGGGTGTTTGGCCACCCCTGGGTAATCGAGATCTCTACTTCCTGTACACGAGTAGTTACCGCAACGTTTTAACAAGCAGCGATAAGCAACATCCATTGTTTCTATTATACGAACAGATTTATCGATAGGGCATCTTGAAGGTGGACGGTGACGAACCAAAAACGGTAGACCAGCCAATTTACGGTGGGAAAACTCGCGTATTGTTTTACGATAAAGACGTTCGCACCGTTGTACCTTTTGACTCGGCGAACAATACAACCGCAGATATTTTTATTTTTGAAAATAACACGTTAACATCCCGTATTCGGGAAACGAGCGTTTCGTTAGACGGTTGAAAAGAAAAACTGATTAATATTCTTCGGCCCAACGAACAGTGGAAACCAGAAACACCTCGGCGGAGTTTAATAAGCGAGTCCTGTGGTACTAAGAACTCGTTAAACCGGCCGCTTACGAAGTTTCTCGTACGGGCAGAAGCAACGTGAATAAAACATGTCTGGTCGATCTATAAACTTTGAGCGTGAAAACCATTGGAAAAAAAAACAAAAAAAAACGAACAAGATAAAGTAAATGCGGTTGCGGGCAGAGCACGGACAATGCGTTGAATTATTGAAAGAAAGACGGATAAAATTAACAGCATTTCAGCGTGAAACGGTGTGCGTCCTGTTTTCAAATATTACATCGATACACTGAACTTCAGCAGAGCACAGTGTTTCGACCAATCGGACAAAATTTTCTGTCTCCGACTCTAGAGGCCCAAATAAGACGAAAATCAAGAATACCAATTTGTTGATGGGGGCTTCGTTAAAAAGTTATTAACAATTAAATTCAAAAATTTCAAATCGTTCTAAAAAAATTATTATCATTTACAGGGGTCAATTACAAGCATTTTTAGTCACAAGTCATACCCCCGAATTCCTACTCAGTTTCGAGAAAAAAATTCGAGTAAGTGCCGAAATTTTTCGGTGAAATTGAAAAATTTCAAAT